TATATATATATATATATTTATATTTCTGTTTATATTTATTTATTTATTTATAAGTATAGAGTAAAGAAGAAGAAGAAGGAGAAGAAGAAGTAAATGTTTATTTGTTTTGTTGTTTGTTTTTGTGTTTTAGGTGTTGGCTGCGGATCTGAAAGCTGACGAAATTGAAGTCGGCGTCGTCTCCAAAGCGAATCGCAATTTTCGTCTGTTATCAAATCAAGAGATTGAAGCGCAGCTAACAGCAATAGCAGAAGAAGATTAAATAAAAAGAACAACTAAAAAGATTAACTCAAAAGAATAAATAAAAAGATTAACTCAAAAGAATAATTCAAAGGACTAGTTAACAAGGATGCAGCACAGACTGTGCTTGCATTATATATCATAAGTTTAAGCACAATATTATTATTGCTGTTATTATTATCATCATTATTATTATGTTATTGTTGTTATTATTATATTTGCACTCCAAACACTACACCTACCAAGCCCTAATACACACACACGCACACACACAAACCCTGCATGCATGCATGCATACATGCATGCATGCATGTGCTATTTCAAGCATAAAGCATTTCCAGTGTTGTTGTACACCTGAAGAGCATGTGGCTGATGTGTGGGGTGTGGGGTGTATGTACACCTCAACTTGAATATCTCGGCGGCGTCGATTCTTCTTCTTCTTAGGCGGCAGTCAGCCGTTGTTTAAGAGAGAGAAGAACTGCGAAATGTGTTGTTATTATCTTTAAAGAAACAAAACCACCAGTGTACATACACCTGAATGAACGCATGCAAATATTTGCTCCTAAAACCCAACGTTTTCGGGTGTACGGACACCTCAAACTCTTCATTTCGCATTCATCAACAGCCTGTACACTCCAATATAACCAACCAACTGCAGCACGACCTTCAGATGTCCCTAGAAAATAGCAGCAGCAGCTGCTGCTGCTGCTGCTGCTGCAGACGGTGCTGCTGCATGCGGCTTCAGCAGCCGCCTTTACTATGAAATTTAGATATAGCTGAGTTGTGATATAGGTGGAGGTATGGGTATTGATTCAGGTGTATAGACAGCGTGTAGAACAGGAAAGAAGAAGAGTTGATTTGTTTGTGCGGCGGAGAGCAGCAGCAGCAAGAAGAGGCCTCTCTTTTCCGCGTCTGTTGAGTTTAGGGTTTAGGGTTTAGGGTTTAGGGTTTAGGGTTTGCCTTTTCTTTGTGATGATTGTCTAGGGTGGTTAGGATCTGAAGAGGTTGTTGTATGCCTCTGCTGCTGCTGTTACGTTATCATTTAGCTGCTGGATTGTATTATTTTGTAATTCTTTGATTTTGTCTTCACCAAATGTCTCTCTTGCTTCATCGAGGAGCACCTGAAAAATCTCTGCTTGCATATTTTCATCTATCTTTTTCTGAGGGTATTGACGAGCGGTAAGCCGATCGAAGAGGATTTGCGTCTCTGCTCGTAGAACAACTACAAGAGCAAACCAAGAAGGGTGCATGAAGCTGCATGCATGAAAATCAACAAGTTTGCCGCCTTCTCGTAAGAGTTCTTCTAACCTGTCTGCAACCCGATCTTCATCAAACACACTGCACTTTAACTCATCATCCCACTCACTGTACAGACCCTCTTCGCTTATTAACTTCGCCACATTTATATGCGCTAACTCCAACTCCTCTGCAAGCTGCTGACTAAAAGTTGTCTTACCCACGCCAGGTGTACCCGTCACCAATATGTTTGGTCTCCGCTGCATCTTCAGGAACAAATACTGAAAATTCTCTTCTGTTTAAACATCTATTTTAATCCCAAGTCTTGAAAATAATGCACAAGCTGAATACTCACGCCTGGCTAAGGAACAGAAGGAAGTAGTATGCGAGCAGCCCCAGCACGGCCTAACACACGAAAGGCGAAAAAATCATGTATTCCAAAGGAATATTCATAAATTTCGATTGTTTTAGATGTAATCGATTAAAAAATACCCATTAATCAGTGTTTAGAGTCGCAACAACGTCGACAGACAGCCAGACAAACAAAACGACAACGCCAGAAGTCTGGGGAAAGGGTTAAGGAAATTGAAAAGCCAGCATCAAAAGAACAAAGCCTTCTTACTGAGGCGATCCAGTTGAATTTGTGTTGAAATACTCAAAACAAACAAACAAAATGAAGTCTTTTCCTCTCCGCTGAGCCTCTAATAGCTGAACTTCTCTGCAGGAAGGCTGATGGGAAGACGCCTTCAGCATCGAAACGAAGCCAAGCAAGCGGCAATTACAGAAAGTTAATTATTTTTAGACGACAATGCCCTGCAATTTAGCGGTAATAT